GACCCAGAGATTCCTAGAAAGGCATCCTCTCTTGAAATTTGTGAGGGTCTCCTGGGGAAGCATACACAGAATCATCTGGAGGACTTAGCAAAATCCTAGAGAGAACCAATTTTCCCCCAAATGCAAATAAGTGAAAATGCAGATATGATCCTCTGGTTACAAGGGTCTTACCTGTAGTTCTAATACAGATTTATCCTCTGTAATTGGAATAGGGTGTGTGTGTGTGATTTTTAAGTGTAGTTTCAATTGTGTTTTAATTTTTTGTGCACCACGACGCAAAATATTTAATTTTCTAATTTTTCTATTTATATTTTAATGCATTTGCTCAGTTTTTAAACATATTGTGTCATGTCTACTGTTAGCTGCCTTAAGTCGTTATATTGGGGAAAAGGTGAGACAGCAAGAAATTGTGGGAATTGAAGTCCAAAAAGTAAAATAAATCAACAAATAAATAAGTGAGCAAGCAAGAACGTGAGGTTTCTTAACATGCATTATAATGTAACACAACATGTTGTTCAAGCCTATGTATGGACTTGCTTCTGGAAGCAACATGTGTAGAATTGTGCTGTAAATTGGTTGAAATCCTTTTGGAACATTTTCAGTGATTCATCTTGACTTATTAATGTCAGTGGGGAGTAAATGCAATCAAATTAATGTGGAACCAAGCCAGTGCATTTCTATCATGTATAAGTAAAGAACTTTTGGCATTCCAGACATTGTGGATCCTCGCATTCAGAAGCCCAAGTCAGCAAAACCAAAGGTTGGGGATCATGGGAACTGTAGTTCAAAACATAATAATCCCAAAATGCCCATTACCTGTTGTAATGGAGTTATCATTAATTATTCAGTGTTACAGGGCAGTTTGATATTCTGGAGCTAGACTGGGATATTTCTTGTTCCACCTTGAAAAGACAAATATTTTCACCATTCTAGCTAATGATTTCTGATACAGCGTGATGCAGTTGTTACTACTGTGGATCTCACTGAAGATGGACCTAAATTCACAAATAATCTCTTACATTTTCCAAAACTTCCTTCCTACAGTCTTATCCGTATGAACGCATGGTGAAGATCCGAAAAGAGAATGTTTCCCCCTCCTTATATACTTCTTACAAGAAGCCACTGCTTCTCCATCAGGGTCATATGCAGTGGCTATTTGACAGTGATGGACGCAGATACCTCGATCTCTTCTCTGGAATTGTGACGATCAGTGTTGGCCATTGCCACCCGTAAGTATACAAATCATTCCACTGGCTAATGTATATGTTTTAGCCACCTGAAAATCAATGGGCAGTTTACTTCCTTCTCATGGTGGGTGGATAGAAATACTTTCCCCCCTTGATTTTAATATCTTGTTCAGACAGTAGCAGCTAGTGATTTCCATGTCAATGTGTAATAAACTACAAGTTTGAATCTGATCTGTAAAGAAGCTGTCCAAGGTGCTG